TAATAGGCAGCAGTTGAATAATTATTTCAGCTGCAAAATAAAAACAAACTAAAATATCAGTTAATATTGTGCTTAATTACCGATTGCTAAGTACTTAGTGAGTTACTAAGTATTAACAATATTTTATTAACAGTTACCTAATGTATTTATAATCGGTAATCAATGATTTATTTACAACATAATTAGTAGTTAATTATACAACCCTTAGTGTAAAGTGTATCCATAAATTATTAAAATGTAATTGAACTGACCTCAGAAATCATATTGAAAATAAACTATATGTCAAAAAGTATCTAGACACCCATTTAATTACCTTTGGGATGAGCTGGGATGAATCCTCACAGCAGTGTTCTAACATCTAGTGTAAAGCCTTTCCAGAAGAGTAGAGGCTGTTACTGCCGCAAAAGAGGACAAACCCCCTATTAATACCCTTCATTTCAGAAGAAACACTGAATGAACATATTGAGTATGTGTTACTTCTTAAGAGTGTAAAATCGTCTTTTTTTCTAAAAAGGTTCAGGTTAAATAATAAAGCATTGCACTTTTATTTGTCTGTGTTCATTACTGAGCTTGAACATGATTTGAACAAGTGGTTGTAGGAACAGTGAGTGAATATCACATTAAAGTCTCTCTTCCCCTCTAGCTGAGGGAGTGACCTCATCAAAAATGCAGAGACTTGCCAAGAGGCATACGGGAGGAACTGGTGGGTTTTATGAGATGGGATGCGGCAAAGCTTGAGTTTCACGGTCACCCCGATGTTGTGTGTTTAAATTGGGAGGAATATGCAGCTGCTGTTATAACTAGTACTCTAATAATCAACTGAACTGAATTAGCTGCAATTATATGTCAAAGTATTATTTTTATTTGCATTAATACCCCATATAATGCCTGGGGACTCCTAGCTTTTTCTATATTTTAAAAGAAAACCATTATCAAATCATTATTTAGTCAAAACTGGGTGCTGGGATGATAAACCTTTCTCAAAAATAAATACATTGGAACAAAATTATTAATAAATTTTGTTTTCTTTTCATTTTGTCATCTCGTATTCTCAGTGTTAAATAAAAAGGAGCATTAGACTTGATGTGAAGGGTTAGGAGTCTTACATCTGAAAAAAATGACTTGAAAAAGCTAAACATATAACTAAAGCATGAAAAGTACTGTTTCTGATGCTGTTTTCCCTGCATGACAGCCAGTAACATTCACTCATGCCGTGGTACACAGGACATCTGACGGCTGCATGTTTAAGTGAAGTAGAACCAGGACTGGATAACAGATAAGAGTGCAGAACACTCACAAAAAAAAAACATAGGTTTCATGGCAGATAACTATAATTATCCTAACCCCACACTACTCTTCATACCAAGGAAGCTGAGAGCTGAGGATAACTATACCAGTACAGCACTGTGTAAAAGTCAGAGACCACCCTTTATTTATTTAATTATAGTTTATAGTATTTTTACATGTGGCACTATTTGTTCTTTTTAACCTGTTCAACGTTATTTAATCTATGAAAACCTAAACATTGTGATGCATATTATGTACTGTAAAAATGTCCTGAAGAATCATGAATTTTTTTTGCTATATCGCCCACTTCTAGTACATCCACCCTTTAGTGTCCACCCTTTACCTTTATTACAGCTCCCATTCTTTTTTAGGAGACCCACTTGAAATCTGCAGGGATATTTTTCCACACCTCCAAAGTTCAGTTTTAGAAGTTGATTTAGCATTTTCTGCTTCTCACCATCCATCACTTCCAGTGATGTTGAGGTCTGGACTCTGGGGTGGTCAGTCTATCGTTCAGCTTTTTTGTTTGATGTGTCTGTCTCCTTTTCCCAGTGAGGTCTTCTTGACAGCTACACATCCTTTCAGACCCATAACACTGAGTTGTCTTCTCACAGTAGAAGGATGGACAGAAACACCTGTGGCTGTTTTCAGATCTGAAGCAGCTTGATTTTCTCCTCTCTCTCAAAGATAAAAGCTTCAAGTAAGATTAATCCAATAGTGACAGATTTGGTGGGTTATTTTATATCTAATCTTCTCAGAAATATCTCCTAAAAAACTAATACTTTGTACTTAATAGCTGTTTTTTCTGGAAATGTAATAAGGTTGAAAAGCTGGTTTATGATAGTAAATCTAGAGCAGATATTTTTCTTACCTAATAGACAAGTAACAATGAGAAAATCCAAATTTGCAAAAGATGACTAGGTGTCCCCGAGCATTTGACAGATATCTCAAAAAAATGCTAGTTGAGGGAATAGTAGAACTTTAAACCTGGTACAGACAGAACATGATGTGTGAAGGAGTAAATATGACATTACACTGCTTCTCTGCTGTCTCTTACTATATTTGGTATTGACACGGAAGCCCTTAGATCTGTGATGTTTGCAATAGTGTGGAGTGAATGGGAGTGTTGCTGTTTGGACCTCATGGTAGGATGAAGATGTTCTGTTAATACCTCTGACAAGTAGGAGAAGAATCAATACGAGTGCTGCTGTGTGGTGAAATGTTCTTTGCACTGGGGTCAGAAGCTGCTGGAAAGATGCTGGACTGTAGAATAGGAGCAGGACCCTGGAACTGGATTGTTCCTGACCTCTTTGGATTTAAGTGAACCTGAACAGCCCAAAATAAATCTGTTCTTTAAATGCACTGTCTGTACCCTTTTAAAAGTTCAGTGAATTTGAGTTTAACAGCAGGCTGTACAGTCTGTGCGTCCAGATTTGTTAGGCCAGAAAAAGATATGTGTGGTGCAGAACCCATAAATGAATCAAGAACACATGCATTTGGATGTCTTATAACATTAATTTCAAGTGTGATGGTATGGGTTCATATATACCCATTCATCTCTGACAAGCCTCTGCAGCCCTCTTGCTCAGTAAAACTAAGAGTACTCTTTTGGCAAACAAGTAGGATAATGGTCAAGGAATTGCCAAGAAGCACCTTAGCAACCACCTGGGATAGTTATTATAGTTCTGCCAGAAAGACTCAGGAGACAAGAGTGAAGGAAGACAATTTAAATAAATAATTTTACAGTTCAGTTGAAATTAAAAAGTCTTTGGCGTAGGCCCCATCCTCGGTCCTGGTCTAGGAGAGATAGGCTCCACCCCTGCCTCAGGAAATTTCCTGGTCAACTAGACAGGGACCAAACTGGTGGTGTAGGAGAATGTCAAAATGTAGGCACCTGAATGCAGCGAGATATGAACAGAAGTCTAGTAAAGACAGGTGTAGGCCTATGACTGGTCAGGAGTAATGAATGAATGATTGCACAGGGGTCAGCAACCCAAATGTTAAGAAAAGCCTTTTTGTCCTTTCAACAAAAATCAGACCACCTTGGGAGCCACAACATTTTGTGTCTATTTTAGCAACTTGGCTGTAAATATGTCTCAGTATGTGCTGATGTACTAGAATAGGATAAAAAACATATAAACAAAAACACACTCACTTTGCTCTGCTTTAAGCTTTAGGTCAACGTATAGCTGCTTTTCTCGCATCTCTGGCAGGAAAATTTTCCACAAAAGTAGAACAGTTTCTGGTAAAACGTTCTCTTAACATTCACTTTGTATGAGGCTGAAGTCAGCTTCTCATTCCCATTTCGTAAATGAATGTAGAATGTAACTGCTGCACCATTTAAGGTGGAACGAGAAGATTTGGACAAGAAATTAGCGAATGAGAAGCTGACTTTTAGTAACTTTTTAGTGTTTGACCATTTGTCATTGCAGATTAAACATTTCAGGAAACCAGCTTATAAAAGCCAATACATTTGTCTCCAAATCATCGCTAACTTATATCTTTCTCTGTCTTTTCCTTAGCCACTAGCTAGGCACGACTGTTGTCTGATGAGCAGCAGTCTATGCGCCAATCTTCAGGGTTAAAGAGTGAATTAGCAGTTACATATTAACTCCAGCGTTTATGACCATTTATTGTTAAAACTGTGTTAGAACGATCAGCAGAGCTTTATTTTACTGCAAAGGAGGATTATTTTATTTTTACCTAATAATTTCATTCTGCTGTGGAGCAGCAACAGGGCAGCTAAAGAGCCACATGTTGCCGACCCCTGACTTAGATTTAGAGTCTTTCTGACAAAACTTTTGCTGAAGTTTTACATTATTTAAAAAGGTCCTTCATTTTCACACTTGCCCCCTAAATGTAGGCAATCAGCCAAGAAATTGTTTAGTGCCTAAATTTTGCTTATTTATTTTCGCACTGGAGCTACAAAGCTAACATTCATACAATTGTATGCAAAGTTATAGTGAATACCCCCAGTCAAAAAAAGAAAATTAGATGTTTTGTTAATGTTTTAAGTGAAAGTAAGATATAAAAATAACACATCCTTTACAGAGAACAAACTTAAAATTTCTATTTATTTCCCTAGTTGAACATATTGGAAAAATAAAACCTACAGTACAAAACGTGCCATTCCAGTGTGTTTAATTTAGCAAAAAAACAGTAATTGTGCATTAAAAATGTGCAGAAGTGTGTTCTCTATAGAGGATGTGTTAACTAATTTTCACTTAGATTATCAATAAAATCAACGATTTCACCACCCGAACTTTTGCATGCGACTGACAGAAACACATGAATAGTCACCCAAATTTTACATCCTAAAATCCTCTCTCAAACCACATCCAGGTCTTCATTAAGGTCACGCAGACATGTGGATGTGGTTTAGGACACAGTATGACTTACTGTGAGCTATAAAAATGAACATGAAGCTTGTAGCTGAAAGCAGTGGTCAGCCTCTTTAAACACCCTTCATTTTGAAGAATGCAAGTCAAAGACTCTGAGTGGCTGCATAGCTAGTTACAGTATCTGTTGTGTATATAAAAATGACTGTGTTTATTCAGGCAGTTGTTTGTTGCCAGCAGGAGGTCCCCAAATCTCCAGGGCTCTGTGTATTTGCGTGGTTTGTATTGTGGTAGACTCTGCCACTGGTAGTGAATACGAAATGTTAGAACTGATGTGAGTTTGTAACTCTGTCATACTATGTGTTTATTCTGCAGGACTGGTCCAAAGATGAGTACAGCGGAGGATGTCCTGTCAATGTCATGGTTCCAGGCATGCTAACGTACTATCATCCCGGCCTTCGAAAGCCTTGTGGCAGGTAAAACAACGCTGTTCCGCTAAACAGAAACATTAAAAATTCCTTCAGTACTCTCCAGCATCTGTCAGCCCAATCTTGTGTACACAACCCATGAAAAGTTTGGGGACACCAAGCTTTTCAGAAAGTGTTTTTTTTTATATAATAAATAAGCAATACAAAAGTTTTTCTTTGAAAAGTCATGAAAATTGAAGGAAGAACTGACTATAGCTCAACCTTGGTAATAACCCCCAGTGGCAGTGTATTTTATCCCTTTGTTGTGACATCCACAGCACTCGTCAGCACTCAAACCTTTCAGGTGTTTTGGACCAGCTTTGATATGTGCTTTTAACAATACTTTGGAAAAGAAAACTCTCAAATCATTATTTAGACGAAGCTGCTCTTCATACCGAGGAAGACACTTTGATGAACGTGGAGCTGAGTGTTGAAGATAAATACTCTAAGGATTAGCACATAGCTGCTTTTTGCTAATTAAACTTTTGTTGCCATAGTTTTTTACTTTAAAGCCCCGCCTGCACAGCCTACAGCAGGTTAGCCCTGCCTATTCAGCTTATCGCAGATTGGCCCCTCCATTCAGCCTACAGCTATTTAGCTCAGCCCGTTCTTGAAGAAGTTATGGGACTAATCAGCGTTACATCACGGCAGCAAATAATTTACTTCTGGGTTGAGAACACAGGTAGTGCTGCACTGGCACAGCAGGATTTTGTACCAATCATGAGAATCATTAAATCAAGAAACTGGAAAAAACAGAGAGCTTCTTTTCTTCTTCCCAGGTCAATAACTTCATGACATTGTGTGCTTAATTTTTGTACATGTGTGGATGGTGCAAGTTAATATATTCATAAACTTGCACCAGCCAAACATGTAATTGCAGGGTTAAATAAAGAAATATTAACTATATTAAATATTAACTGGGTTTTTTCCCACTGCATATTCATAAACAACAACTGACCCTGACATGCACCAGCTGAACTAATGGTTCTAGTTCTACTTCATTTTCCAGCTGTTAGAGAGACCGCTGGAACCATTATAAAAACCATAGTTAACAATTTAATAGACTTTTTGTTCATTGTATGTCACTGTAAAGCATCTAACTAAGCTAATTAGCTACCTTGCTTGGCAGTTGGCTTATAGACTAGAATAAAATGATATATTGCACTGTTCTACACACACACTCAACAAGTTTCTTACAGCTTGTATCTTCTTGTGTCGAACATAGGGGTAAATAATTAAAACAAATAGAGGGTGAGGGGTGCCATACTGCCCAAGCTCCTAGGAGTAAATAGAGCTAGAACAGGTTTTGGCAGGACGCTGGTCGATGATGGGATTACGTGCTGTTTTTTTTCAGAGGCCCCGTAAACACACAGCTCTCCAATGTATTGTAACCTGTTCATCTTGTTTAACAGAACCCTGCCAGCAACTTACTTGTTGGCTTATTGGCTAAAATAAAACACTCACACAAATGTCTGTATTTACACAGAAAAGTTCATAGAAGCCTTTATTTTTTTCTGTTGAGAGCAAAAATATGAGCAAAAACACTTCTGTGGCTAGCATAAACGCTAACAGTCTTAGCTTTTTCCAGTGAATGCTGAAAAATGTGAAAAACGTTACATACCTGAGTTCATTTGACATTGCAGCCTCAAACATAAAACTTTTATTGCACAATGTTTTGTGTGTTATTTTTGTATTTATTGTTAATTGTGCTGAAAATTGAGGCGCGTCCATGCTGACTGGAGGTGAGTTATCCACCAGGAAGTATATCTGATGTGGTCTATAATGAGTATTTCAGCTCAGGCTGCTTTTTGACTGAAGTAATACAGGGCAGCCAATCAGAACAGAGGTCATTTACATATATCAATCTTAAAGCCACAGTAACGAAAAACATCATGCTTAATTGTAAGCAATGAGGAGAATGGAAAATGCTCATGTAAAAATGAATTTAATTGTATGGGTTTGTCGCATAATACCACACAAACGTTATGAGAAATGAAATGTGGGGGAAATTGCCCTTTTACTGAAAAGTGAGCGTGTAAATCAAACAGTCAAAAAAGACAAGGTGTCCCTTAACTTGGGCAGTCCTGAGTCACATGACCATCTGGCCAACACTCATTACCTGCCACTTTGCAGAGGGCAGATGAGACACAAATGCGCAATGAGGAGTGTGTTAATTGAAGGAACAGAAGAGTGTGTGCGTGGTGTGCTTGGCACTTATGCGCCTCAAACCAATGGGCTAGAGGTCAGAGGAACAGCACTCTCCTGAGAAAAACAGTCGCATAATCCATTTGTAATGGGTCCCTGAGCGAACTCTTGGCCATGAAGGATGCAGCGAGGGAGAGCGCGCTGCTGGGCTGGTGGAGGTAGGGGTTTGGGGGAGGGGGGTCTGGCTAGGTAATCCATTTCCATAATAGAATTAAATCCACAGGGAAGGGAATGATCTCATCAAATCAAGAGGTTGAAGGATGTAAAGACTCTGGCCGTAGCGTTCTGCATGTGTGGGCTGCAATCCGTAATCTGTCCTTGACCCACTTCTGGACGGACCAAGTAGTGCTTGCTTACTTTTCTGAAATTTCTCAAGACGTGCACAAAGTCCTTCAGAAGGTTTAAGCCCGGCTAATACCCGGTTCCCTTCCACAGTGCCTGGAATATTAAGTATATTCTTAATAGAGGTAAATAATTAAAACAAACAGAGGGTGAGGGGTGCCATACTGTCCCAGCTTCTAGGAGTAAATAGAGCTAGAACAGGTTTTGGCAGGACGCTGGTCGATGATGGGATTAAGTTTTTTATTTATTTATTTTTTTTTGGCTGTTTTTTCAGAGGCCCGGTAAACACACAGCTCTCCAATGTAGTGTAACCCACTCATCTCGTGTTTGCTGTAACCCAGTGGAACAGAACCCTCCCAAAAACCCCTTTCATGTGTGAGTGATACACATGCGGCTAGACCGCAGGTGAAAGGCAGTGTGGGTAAAAACATGCCTCGGGGGTTCCGCGCACTAGTAAGGCTGTCGTATCCATAATGCATAAAGAATAAACAGTAAGCTAGAAAAACAGCCTCAGATAGAGGTAAGATGGACCGAAATATATAAAAATAGCTGAAATATGGCGTTTGTTTTGTGTGACAAGTCTTTGCTCAGTAGGTATCCACATTCCAGCGCAGCCATCCGCGTATTTCTCTACATTCTCCAGACTGCCGCCTGTTTTTGATGACTTTTTATACTGTACATTCGCAAACGTGTTAATTCTACAGTACGTGGGTGACATTGAGTGCGTACTGCTTAAACACGTGTGCGTTGGTTCACATTGCAAGATGAAGAAAACCTTTAACAAAAATGCAGCGTGGATTAAGAGTAGAATGGCTGTTACAGAGGAATCATAGCGTTTTAAAGAAATGTTAAGCTGTTTCTGATGTTGTCAGGGGAATTGAAAGCTGTAAGCTATTTTTCGCTTTGATAGATGCTGAATGAAGTCAGTTCAAAGCATTTGAACTACATTACTTGTATTGAGCCTTCATGTCTTCTGGTCTTCTTGTTTAAAAAAAAAGGGCCTTCTTATTCTTATTGATGCTGTTAAACCTCGTAGGTCCCTGGTGGTGCGTATGCTTTGAAACGGCTGATATTATAGCTTGTTATTGAATTCTTACTTAAATGTACCACATTCAGTATATGAACATGATCCAGCACGACTTCTGTAGCAGTCCTGTGCTGAAGTTTATCCAATCACATGCATTTATGTAAGCGACTTAGCCGCAGACAGCTCATCAGAACAGAGACAGGACTAGATATCAGGTCAGAAGGAAAATGATTCCACATATTTTGTGTTTTTCTATTTTATTTCTGGTCTGCATTTAACGAAATAGGAAAGTCGAGGATGAAAACAGTGTTTAAAAAGAGTTTTTTTCGTGTTTATTGTCACATCACAATTTACCCAAGTGTGAAGGTTAGTGAAGATCTTGAAATCGTAGCCCCCTTGTAGTGTGTATATACATATATATATATATATATATATATAGAGAGAGAGAGAGAGAGAGAGAGAGAGAGACTCCAAATATATACACATATACATATACACAATGTACACATTAGTATGCACACAGTATTGCACCATTCCGATGTACAGTTTTTGTACAGTAATATAGTTATAAATTAAGCTATGATATGTACAGCTGTACACATTTCCATATATGCAGTCTTTTATTTTATTTTATTTTATTTTTATTTATGTATTTATTTATTTTTAAGAATTTATTATACCTTATAACAAGACAAAGGCAATAATTTTGTCTTCTGTGGACCAATGTATTTTTAAAGATATTGTAAACTTTTTAAGACTGTTCCCTTCTAAAAAGGTTTTATTTATTATTTATTTATAAATAATAGATAATGGCCATGCAGTTTTAAAATGCTCATTATGGCATTCAAAATAAAACAATATATCAGAATATTTTTGATGTAATTGATATATTTCGCTGCTGTGGGAACGAAACCTCGTATCTCCGTTTTTCAGTTTTTTGACATAGTTTAAAAATGCCTTTTACATTGTGTGTAAATTTCACAATCAATGAACCAAAAGAAATGGCCCAAAATGACTTGGACAAAAGTCTGGTTCCATTGATTTACATTAAAAGAAAGGTAATTTTTGCTTCTCCTGTGAAGTTACCATTTTAGAGACACCTGGTTTTGTTCTGACAGCAGTGATTTGATTGTTTTACTTTATTAGTTGACATTAGTGTTTAAAGATAATCATTGTAGCCATTCACTCGTGTTAGTTTGTTCATCTGGATTTTTGTAAGTAAGGAAATTGATGTAACTGGACATTCCCAAGTATTAAGATAAGATAAGATAATATATGATAAGATAATCCTTTATTAGTCCCACAACAGGGAAATTCTCAACAGAATTAGGTAACTTTAGTGTAGACTTTAAACATCAATATGTGTGATTGAGTTTAATGCTAGTTAACATTGGATAGATCATTATCTGTGTTTGAGGCAGCTAGCACTAATAGTTGAAATTAAAGTAGCTGTAAGTGTAGAGGGCGGCACAGTGGCGCAGTGGGTAGCGCTGTCGCCTCACAGCAAGAATGGCCTGGGTTCGATTCCCGGCCGGGCGACCGGGGTCATTTCTGTGTGGAGTTTGCATGTTCTCCCCGTGTCTGCGTGGGTTTCCTCCGGGTACTCCGGTTTCCTCCCAAAGTCCAAAGACATGCAGTCAGGCCAATTGGACGTGCTAAATTGCCCCTAGGTGTGTGTGTGAATGTGTATGTCTGTCTGTCTGCCCTGCGATGGACTGGCGACCTGTCCAGGGTGTATCCTGCCTTCCGCCCAATGACAGCTGGGATAGGCTCCAGCACCCCACCGCGACCCAGAAGGATAAGCGGTTTAGATGATGAATGAATGAATGTAAGTGTAGATGACCTGACTGACTGTAAAATCTCCTGTTCATAGAGCAATCATAAGAGGTGTGAGCATAAAGTAGGGTTTTATTTTGAGGGTCCACTACCATGTCTGAAACATAACAAACGCTGCTTAGAAACACATTCTAAGTATTTATTGTTATTTGTATTATATCAGGGATTACAAATCTTAACTTATGAGCCACACAACCAACCATAAAAGCTTTCACAGCCCACAAGATGACCCCATCATCATTATAGACTGTAAAACCAATGTACATGTAATTCATCGCAGGACTATGTAATTAGTGTAATACCCTGATAGCAAGAGGATAGTGTCTGTGATGGCAAAACTGGAAGTCTACTGGCATTTTGCTTAGTATTTTCTGGGTGACTCACTGGTGGTTAAGCAGAGTATCAGACAAAATTCCACTTATCGTCACTCATCTTCCACTCACAGTCCAATTTACCTATTTTGGTGACACTTTATTTTAAATGGTTTTTAAATTAACACTCAGCAGACTCTCAGTAACATGGCAAAAACATATGAGGGTTAGGATTAGGTTTAGAGTTGAGGTTAAGATTAGCGTTAGGATTAGGGCCAGGGTGATGGTTAGGTTTTGGGTAAGGTTGGGTAAGGTTAGGTTTTGCATAATGGAAGTAACATAGTAACAATATATCTATTTAATGTAAGTAATGTATCAACAGAACATCTACAGGATATTTACTTTAATATATTCAGATGCTTCACTACTGCTACTTCACTGATATCCTTATATCCTTATGTTCTTTCTTTAGTTATACTTGCTAAATTAGTTTAGGAAATACTTTTAATTTGGCACAGTTTCAGCAACACCAATTTTTTATAAAATCATTTTCTATCAGGTCTAGTCATTTTTTTTTCTCTCAGTTGTTTGTAATATTGGTCTATTTTCTAAAATAAAAGGCTCGGTGCATTTAAAATCTGTTTGAGGAAATTAGATTTGACTAGATAAACTAAATTAGGAAAACTAGAGCTTGTATGCCGGACAATACTCTGGGTGGTCCTAGGGAGGACCACATGTGGTATACAGTCAGCAGGTGCTGACTTTATCAAGCCAGCTGACAGATATATGCTTGCTATCTGGGCATGTGCGTACATATAAGTGAATAACCATGAAATTTAAAACAAATGTATATCAAAATGACAATATTAACTTGTGCCATGTGCCCGTCCCCTGGGCCCCGATGACGGCTGCGAGAGCTAGCAGGAAGGCGGGGCCCAGGGGACAGGCGCACAGCACATAACTCTATACTAATAATAACTCTATAGGGTTGAAAGAAGGCCTTCCTTATTGAAACTATTAAAAACAAGAATAGTAATTGAGGCAGCTTTTAAACTATATCATGGTTCTAATGCTTTCCTTCACACCTCTCCTAGGATCCACTGGGCTGGAACTGAGACAGCTACCCAGTAGTGTGGCTATCTCAGCGGGGCCGTCCAGGCTGGCCATCGGCAGCTCTGGAGGTCCTGGCAGAGGTCTGTCCATCTGCACTGTCTAAGGAAGAACTCCAGAAAATGAGACCAGAGGTTACAAGGGCACCGTCACACTTGATCAAGGTTTGGAACCGCAGGTCCACCTCCTCCCGCCTCCTCTTTGGCCTGGCTGTGACCACGCTCACCGCTGGGGCTGCCTTGTTCTAGGCCATGCCTGAATTAGGCCGCAGTTGGATCAACCGGGCATTGGTCCTATTTCAGAGGCAGCACTGAGCTTCGCAGCTTCGGAGTACCCAAAGGCATTTTTTTTTGTTTCCCCAGAACGACTCATTACCATTAAACAGATATCGATTTTCTAATCTAGGCAAAGGATAACATCAGCTATCAGCATATTCCCTTATCTCCTTTTAAGAAACGATTCCTAAAAGAATTGCGTTAATAATAAACTTGGATTTTAACTTTATTTGAAGTTGCCTTTTTACCAAAGTTGCCTTTTTCATGCAAATTTGATGCGGCCTGTGTGTTTATGGGCACAAATGAATCATTGACGATTCGAGCGTTTAGTCAAAAAAAAAAATTGCTGCGAGCTACAAAATCTATTTCAGCATGAGGTAAGAACTTCAGTATCTCCGTCAGCCCTGTGGTAAAGCTCTGTCACTCTCCGTGTGCTTAACTCAGAAACTAGAGGACTTGTGTGCGCCCGAGTTTGTCAAGGCTGTTTGGGACATCCTTAATTTACTTGACGGCTCTGCCTTTGTGACTCAGGCAGAGAGGAAAGAGGGGAGAGAATCTCCAAAATGCAGGAAAGGTTCAGCCTTGCAGTGTAAAGCCTTGCTCCCATGTGTGCCAGAAACCTCCAGCTAAACCCGTTACTGCAGCACTGGAAGGAAGCCATCTGTACTGTGTGGTACTCACTTAGACACTCTCACATATGCACCCCCCCAACACACACACACACACACACACACACACCCACACACACACACACACACACTCACATGCATACTGTCCATGCTCCACTGAGGGTGTGATGGATGAGCCATTCATTCGACGTTAACGTCCCCATGAAAGTGATTTAATCGCGAGCTCTTGATTGCACCATTGATGAAGAGCCCCACTGTCACTGAGCTGGCCGCTCTCGCCCAGGGACATCTAACTCAAACCGGACACCGGACAGCAGCGATCAGGCTAGAGTCACCCAGTAATGCCTTATCTGTCTTTGTTATCCGTCTTTTGCAGGGGATCAACTCTTCATTTCTTTCCACTGGGTTGGTTCTGCTCCATCAAGATTAAGCTCTGCCCTCCGCGACGTCCCTTTGTAACCCGTTCAATTTATAATGCCCTCTAGGGTAAAGGGGACAAAGCCAGCACTTCCTTTGCATCACCAGCCTTGCCTTTGGATAAGGCCCCACAGGAAAGAAGGCAAGGCCTCTGGCGACGGTGAATCTGATTTTCCATTCCATTTGCTAGATTAACTCCACATCCTGTCGGCTGGCCGCGCATCTTCATCTGTCGCCTCTTGGGGGTGTGGATTGGTCATTATTTAGCAGTCCTGCAAAAGCCACTTCATGATTTCCTCTCAGGGAGAGCTTGCAGTGCATGTCAGTTATATGCTTTTATTGAACATATTCCTATAGTAGAAAGTAACTGAATGGACAGTTACAGGTCTGAGTGGACAGTCATGTGCAAAAATTTGGATGCACCTGGTCAGAGTATATGTTTTGTTGATTTTCTAAGTGAAAACAAGTTAACAGATCCTCTACAGAGAACCACGTCTGTGCATTTTAATGCACAATTACTGTTTATTTGCTGAATATAATATATCGGGAAAGAAGTTATGACACATTTTATGCTATATTTTTTTTTTCAATATGAGATTTTGGACCATAATGGATAGAAAAAATGCCATGTTTTAGTTTGTTCTCTGTAGAGGATGTGCTAACTTATTTTCAGCTTCAACTTTTGCATAAGGCTGTATATATGAGTGCAGGCAAAGCACAAAATGTGCCTTGATGCGACCCTAATATGCGACTGCAATATGTGCCCACAGTGCACCTGAGTTGAATCAAGCTTTATCACACAGTCCTCATAGCCCCGCCCGCTAAATTCTGGCTCATGAGACACACACTGTTAGAAATAGTTCTGTGCAGATACATTTTTGTTCATCAAGGAACAAACAGTGTAAATGTACCCTCAAAGGTGCAACAGTGGTTTTAAGGTCCAATTGTGTACCATAAATAAATGTTTCCAGGGTGAAAAGTAGGTATTTGTACCTTTTCATAATGTTTTAAAACAGAACAATAAAATAAAAAGCCTGGACACACAACTAGATAACACAACACAACCAGGACATACAACTTAGAAAATATAATTTCAATGCATTTTGCTACAATTATGTTCCCTGACTAAAGGTACGGAGATGTACCCTTGAGGGTACCTCTGACATTAAGGGTGCTGCCCTAGTGACAGTTTCATAGCTTTTTTCTAAGAGTGCAGGGTTAAAGAGGTGTAGTGAAATAATGTAGCCATCAACAAGCTCAAGACAGAATAGAAAATGAAAGCTCAGTGAACAGATAGTGGTCTTAATAAATTAATCAATCGTGCAGACAACTTTAGTCAAACGAGTGGAATATATGATCAGCCACATGTGTAATATCAAAACCTCGGTACAACTGTCCTCAAATGCATGTGCATGGGGAAGAGAAGCTCATTTTGCATTTTACCACAAAAAACACCCCATAAACCACATTTATGCTTGCATGCCAGTTTTATTCATAACACTTGGGCACAATGTGTCTGGATTGTATTAAAAACTGGTGTAAGAGTAATACCAGAGAACCAGTTTTGGTTCATTAAAGAACCTTACAATGACCTGTTACCTAAATAATCATTTTTGTATGAGTGTGAAGAGCTTTTTAAAGTTTAAAGAACTGGAAGCCTTTTAAGTCAGGCATACACTGTGCCATTTTAGAAATCTTGTCCTTTGGTGACAGTCAACACTATACGTTTGAATCGGCCATCGTGTGCAGCCAAAGCCTGTGATTTATATACTCACACTGTACAAAAACACTCAGCCCACCTGACATGATGCGACATGGGTGCTCACACTGCACGTGAAACGCAGCCCCTACAGTCAGCTCTGTTAGACAATTTCCAATAAAGCCGTTTCTTTCAAAACAACACGCTGCGCCTCCGAGTCCCAAGCAAAAAACATTGGCTGAATCTCAAATGGCTCCCTGCTCCTTACATAGTGAACCACAAATTGAAATAGTGGCTCCTGCACCCATAAAGTGCTTCACATGTCTAATAAATAGCCTTCTGAGATTCAGCCGTGTGTGCACAGTTCCATACTGGACAAACAGTGCACTATTTTGGTGTAGAAGCCAGAACGTGCGCTACATTGGAAGGAGGGGGCCGCTTGAGATTTAGCCATTCACAAACCGCTACAACAGCTTTGCTAATTTGTCTGACTGCTCAATCGGAGCTCGTTTGGGCAGTTAATCGGGCATCGTTTCCCCTCTCACACTGCACAGCAAATGATGGCCAGTGAAGCTGAAATTCGGCCCGATCGTGAAATTCTGTCGGCTCTGACCAAATCGAGCTTAAAAACGGGCTAAAATCACACAGTGTGTGACTGGCTTTATTTGGGACTAAGGGCAGCATTTGTTAGTAAGGCTACATCACACCGACATAAGCCTTTCAGCTAACCTAAACCTACATAAAGACCTATTCCAGCAAGCATTAGTGGTCATCAAGGCTGCTCTGGTCACTTTTAATGTAGTTTCAGCTCAGTAAGTGTTATGTCAACTTAGGCTTGTTGGAATAAGCCTTTATAAATGTCTTTGTTTATGTCTGTCATAATGAAAGGCTTATGTAGGTGTTGTGTATCCTTATGAACACCCAAACAACCTCTGCATGACGTTCATGTACTATACCAAGATTTTCCTAGGACTCACAGTGAACCATTTAAGGGTCTTTATTTTCAAAAGGGTAGAGATGATCCATGACATAATGTGAATCTGATTTTGTGAGTCCATTTTCCATTCCATTTGCTAGATTAATGCCACATCCAACCTCACGTCTTCATCTGTCGCCTCTCCACTGTGTAGATTGGCCATTAAGTAGTAGTCCAACAAAAAAACACCATGATTGTCTCTCAGGGCGAGCTTCTTGCGCCTCAGCCCGAGGCTTGAAGACTCTGGACGGTCTTTTCCACGCTCTGGCAGCTTGCCCACGTCAGCCGCAGTTTTGTTTATGCAGCACCCCAATGTGCAGACATGGACCCACTTCAGATTAGCTGGGTCCATGCCAGGTTTTAGGGCAGCCCTCAGGATCTGAGCCCGAAATGATGAACCGCACTGGACTTGAAGGTCGTGTCAGTGTTGTTGGTGGGGTTTCATGTGTGACGCCATGCAGCGGCCTGTGAGATTGAAAGTGGCATATTTATTTACACTTATAGCGCCTGTGCTGTGGCATGGTACAGTTACAGTGGGCAATTTCTCATCTGACTTCAATATGAAGAGAGTGAAGTCAAAAACCAAATTGGCTGATTAATGTAATACCACGGAAGCACTTAAGCAACATCAAACATGTCCCAATACTTGTACTTTTCATAATTATATATGGAGGTAAAACTGCTGACTTATTGAGTTCATCTAAACCATGATGAGCTGAGTCATTGGTTTTTTATAACCTGTTCTAAGGCAAATTGAGCAATTTTTCAAATGTTCACTGAAAAAGTTCATTCGTTTTGTACAGTTTAGTGCTCAGAAACGGCCACGGAGCTGCAATCACTCCAGCAGCTCATGCACAGGACAATTTTATTTTGAGGCAAATCCAAGTTTGTTCAGGGAAATAGTTTAATCCAAAGCTTTTCTGGTTTGTATTCACCCCTTGCCCATACCATCTGCTCAACCTACGAGACCTCATCAGTGGTTTTAGGGGTGTAACACAGCAACGCTTCCACATAATTTAGCAGATCCTTGGTCTTGTTTGAGCACAGACTCCATAATGCAAACAAAATTTTGAGCAGCTGAAGCTAAGTAGCTAAGTAAGGGTCGACTCATGTACCTTCCGTAGGCCTGATAAGAATTTCAAACAGCCTGGTCCACTGCTGAGGGCAGTGATTAGCCAGACGCTATTTAGCGCTGTATGTTTTTGGACAAATATCTCCAATTTGGGTTACTTTAAATCGAACTTGCCTTCATCTTTATTTATTTCACTCTAAGAACCTTCTAATATGCTAGGGGTCAGCCAAGGGTTGTGTTATCATAAGTGTTGTTGTGTCATGCTGTTGCATCCCTTGAACTCCTTGACCTGTTTCGAGCCCCTGTGGTCAATTGATGGACACAGCATGCTGATGTATGCTAGTTTTATTTTTCTCATGCTGCCTCTCTCTCTCTCACTCTTTCTCTCCTGATCGGAGTTGGCAGCACTGCTATCTGACTCCCACTTCACAGTGAC